GTCAATGTCTTGTCCGTCTATGTCAATTTCTGCAGGTGAGGACCTATTTTTCCAGAATGTATGAAGATTACGGAGGTTGCCATAGGATCTACATTTTAATATTTTATAAAATAAACATATCATCAAAATAATAGTTATTATAATTATTAAAGTGGAGTAATGTGTCCCATACTGAATGATATGTGGTTTATTTAAAATTACGTCTAAATCTTTCGACTCTTTTAAGATATTGTTTTCCATTTTTAATTCGTCTAAATCAATGTTAAGCAGTTCAATTTGGGGCACATTTTTGCTTACTTTAGTAAACTTATCTAAATTACAGCACGTATCGTTGAGAATGTTGAAATCTGGTGATTTGACCGGTGAAGTTAGATTTACAGTAATGTATCTTGATAATAACATGGTACTTTTACAAAACCCGGTACAGCCGCTGGGGATGGTAATGACGCCAGTCCCCAATATACTATTTTCGTACAATTTCGAATTAACACAGTCTATAGATATTTTGTTCGGGTCCGCTTGAACAAAGCCACTTATTATTATTTATAGGTTTCCAAATATCCACTTTTCCACGAATAAATTTAGTATTACACTGCACTGGAATTTCACTTATTATTTTAGACATGAGTTCAGTTGCACAACTAGGTTTGGCATCAGTCGCGTACACGTTGTTGACGTCACACACGAAGTTGTTTCCTATGGTGGTTTTACAGCTGTCAAGGCTATTTAAATTACAATAGTGGAGTTTGTCTTTGGTCATTGCTATATACCTTGAATCTGGTAAAATTAAACTAAAGGAATTTGGGTTACTCTGATTATGTGGTGTCGGTAAAGCAATATTATGAAATAACATGAAATTCTGATCAGAGACGAGAGGAATTTGCAGCGGAGCTTAATCGGCTGGCCAGGGAAGATATATGTGAAACCATTGAAGTTTACTATCTAAGGTCAGTCCCAAGAAGCCTGCTTTATTAACAAAGTCTAACTTTTCTCCGTTTATGTCTATGCTTGGACTAGTCGATTTTACGTTAGGTAATTCAAATTTAACACATTTTGTCTTCTTGGCACTAAGCAATAAATTGTTAGCATTAAACCAATAAACTACCTTAGAGAGGGTATCATTAATATGGTCATAATTAATGTCAAGTCTGTCTGTTTTAAAAATCAAGGATGTGTCATCAGCAAACAACACTATTTCGCAATGTAGGTTTAAGGGTGTGATTTACACCTTTTCCATTTATTTCCATTTTAATGTTCCAGCTTCCTAATAAGAGTAATATGATCAACGCAATCAAATGCCTTTGAGAGGTCACAGACAACACCAATAGCGTTCTGAGACCTTTCCCAAGCATCAAAGATGTGTTTTAGTAACGCTACCCCCGCATCGCTAGTCGATCTACCACTAGTAAACCCGTATTGTTCACTATGAAAAATATGATTCCTACCGAAATAGGACAGTAATTGAGTCAGCATAACCTTTTCGAATATTTTACTTAAAGCTGGTAAAATTGAAATGGGCCTATAGTTGCTAGGATCAACTTTCCTACCGCTTTTGAATAAGGGAATAACCTTGCTGTATTTCATTAAATCGGGAAAAACACCTTCGTCAACGCACCTATTGAAAGCTACAGCTAAATGTGGGGAAATTAGATCAATAACTGAGTCTATAACTTTAGTGGATATGCCCCAGAGATCTTCAGTTTTTTTAACATGTATTGATTTAAAAGCTTTTATGATGTCTTGTGGATTAACATGATGGAAATTAAATAAACTGCCACAAACGTTAACATTTTCCTTTAGGAGATCCATAGCAAGTGAAGGGGAGGAATTTAATGATTCTGTAGTGTTCACAGCAATTTCCGAAAAGAACGATTCAAAGCTTGGGCTACTTTATCTTTAGATTTTATAAGTTTACTGTCTAATTCTAAAACTATATCATTGTGTTGTTTAACCTTGCCTGACTCTTTATTTATTATGCTCCAAGTAGTTTTAGATTTATTTATCGATTGTCTAATTTTGTCGCTGTGAAATCTAACCTTAGCACATACTTTTTAAATATTTTTGAATAATTTCTAACATATTCAATGAAATTGGTATTAGTATTATAAGTTTTCATAGCATTTAGGTCACACAAACGAGACCTACTCTTATGAATACCTACTGTTTCCCAGTCGTTGAATTTAGTATCTCTATGGAAAGTTAATGTTTTCGATTTAAATATATTATCGAATTAATTTTTAATTAAACCCAATATCGTGCTATATAAAGTATTTGTAACCTCCGGTATATGGGGTAGGTAATTTATACGAACGGCATCCTCAGTGGGAGTCCCCAATGTTGGGGTGGTGGATGCGCTTGCACGCTGCTGCCAATGCGTACCTGCTTGTCCTGACATTAGCTGGGTGCATTGTGGTCTCATCAGTCAAATATCAATAATTTTGTTTTATAATTATTTTAAACCTAAACACCAGCCTGAGATTCTATACTACCTAAGCTCGAATTCAATATTTTCCCGTACTAATACATTTTCATCATTCAGGTTCATTTTGCTTGGGTCGAGTGGCAGGGACTCTGGCTTTATTTCAGAATATATTTTTTTACAAACTAAATTGACGCCATTTGAAAAATGTATATCGTATAGTTTACGTGTTCTATTTAGTTCAGTTGATATAAAAAAAAAATCATTCCTAATGTAAAGTCAATTATTTAATTTACTTTTCATTATATATAGCGGCTTGCTTGTAAAATTTCGAGGTAAGTTTGTGTTTTTTTCTATCGTGAAATTTTTTAGGAATCGTGTATATTTTCAATTTTAATAGGTATTTATTTTTTCCAAAGTTGATTCAACACTTTCACTGTTATGCGGGATCAACTCCACTCTGAATAATATACAACCACAAATTACACCCAACCCCATAAGAGAAATAAATGTAGGCCATACAAATATTTCTCCCGGCCCGGGACCTCAGCGTGGCAGATGAGCAGGGTATCCGTTCGGCCACAAAGGCAGTTTTAATTTTAAGGAATAATTTTAGTTTTAGTTAGTTAGTTAGTTTTAAGTTTGTTGTTATTATTTAAAGGATTTTTGTTTGTTCGATTTTTGAATCAATATTACATAAAAGGAATTAATCGTTATAATAGCCTTTCGATCGGCAGCAAAAAATGTTTTTTTTTTCACATTTGGTCGATTCGATTCCCAGATGAGGTAAACAACTTTTTAAGTCTTTGATTACAATTTCACTTCTTTTAAAAATGTAATAATATCTCCATAAAGCAAAATACCTACCAACCTAATAATTGTGAGAGTTAGTCCAGGGAAGTAATGTCAACTTACCTATTTATGCCGCCAAGCAGTAATGTGAGCATTAGGTTTTGAAGGGCAAGGGTGCTGGTGAATTTACTGGCACATGCGACTTATCAACTTATGTATCAGGGTGAGACGGGTGCAATGGCAGTGCCCCTCAGATCTTTGTGTTTTAAAGCTCCGAGTGGCACTGAAACTGGCACGGACAGACGTGTCGCTTACCATCAGGCGTACGGCTTATTCATCCCGTCGCGTCACGGTATCATAAAAAAAATCTATAATATTTAAATTACAGACTGCAGCACATTAAGCTACACATTAACGGATCTTGCCCCGTTACACTGGAGGCGATATTCGAACAAAAGTGTATAGCTTGTTGTGCTTTCTGTACTTTCCCTCCGTGTCGCACGGCCGTAGGACATATTCATTGAAATCATAAAATACCGTGTACAATAAACTTGCATGTTGGAAAATATTTATTAAAAATGATCCTCGTCGAAATTATAAACTTATAGGTGATTATTTTTCTTTACTTGTAAGAGTATATATTTTACATTTTGCAGGCAAACTGGGTCGTAATAAAACAATAGGAATAAGAACAATTAACAACTTATAATGCGTAAAAAATTTATACAGATCATTTATTTTACATAATTTTTAAATATCTAACTAGTTTTAGTTGTATTTTAATAAGTGTTAATAATATATTACAATTTATAAATAAATAAAACTAACAACCTTAATAGTAATACTTATGAAAAACTCAACTCTTGCTATCTATTTTACTTTTTTATTATTGATTTTTACTCTGCATTTAAAAATGTTAATTTAACATCTACATGTATGTAATTAAACGAAACCGTGTGTAGTGTTGCAATGAATTACATATTCGGCCTCAGGCTAAATACCGAATATTCGGTCAAATTATTCGACCTGATTAACGTACGTACGAAAATTGACACGCAAACCACGCAATGATGACATGGCAGGGATCACGCACCCTGCTCACCGATTGGCCCGCTGTCACTACGCGATGCCAATCGCGTTAATTCTTGATTAGTTTTCATTTGACTTCTTAGAAATATAACTTCGTCATGTCATATTTCCTTTGATATTTTAAATAAACTGAGAAAAATTGCAATGTATGATTAGCATTAATAAAAGTTATATGATAAGTGTTTTTCTTATTGCTTCCTCTTGTTTTTAGGTATTCGAATAACAAAAATACATGACGAATGTTAAAACGAAATTCGTTGCCACTCTAGTTGTAATGCTTCTGCTCAATGTGTATCCTTACTTTTTGAGCCATTTGACTAAGAACATTTTAAGCTTTATTTATTAAGAGATAATCATAGCGTAAAGGCAGTTGATCAGTCCAATATTATAGAGCAGTCCACTTATACAGGGAGCAAGAAAAAGGCCCCAACATTGTACAGTCGGTAATCCTTCGTACATAGATAAACAAATTCAGCGAAAATAATAATTTAAAAGTTGCGTAAAAATGATTTGGTTGCTCATCCAAAATGTGCGCAGTCGGTCGAATTACATTTACGATTATTAAAAAGTCATTATCCACTAATTTATACATCCCACTGCTGGGCACGGGTCTTCTATCAGGCGAGGGTCAGGCCATAGTCCGCCACTCTGGCCCAATGCGGGTCGGGAACTTCACTTCCGCTATTTTGTTATTTTGTAGTAATTAGCACGAATGATTTTATCAATGGTTTTTTTTTTCAACTTTTTGTTTTACGTTAAGTATATGGGACTTTAAGATTTTTCTTTCATTTGGTGCCAGTTACGTCAACAACAATGTTCACGATTCTTGTCAGCAACGGCTTTAAATTGTCGCCTGGAACATCAGTCCACTTGCTTGCCAGGCAACTTTCGATTCTCTCGTGTGTCGATTGTTTACCTAGAAGGAATAATTTAACACAAAATAAAATCAACCAAATTTTTGCACATAGTAAGGAGACCTTCAAATTAGACGCTTAAAAAGCGCTACAGTGATAGTGACGCCACTGTGGCGCTGCAGCCGCGCCGCTACTAACCTTCATACAATATTTACAAGCGCAGTTGCATCGCCACTGTCATGACACGGGCGTGTCACTTTTGCAGTCACAATTAGTGAAGTAAAATATAACTTACTATAAAAAAACCGTCCTCAAAAGTTTGTGAACATTTATTTGCCAAGTTTTATTGAAATCGGTTACCGGAAAGTGCGCGAAACCAGATTCAGCCCCTACTTTTCCACTCTTAGTGGTGGAATATTTTCTTCAAGTTTAAATGCAACCAATATTGAGATACCCTCTTTCCAACAAAAAAAAAATCATCAAAATCGGTTCACAAATGTCGGAGTAATGCCGTAACATACACACAAAACATTACAGTCAAATTCAGAACCTCATCCTTTTTTGAAGGCGGGTAAAAATTACTGTAACGCTAGAGACGGGCGGCTGCCGCACCACTGCAGCGCTTCTATTATACAAGCGTCTAATTTGAAGGCGCACTTATTGTTCTTTTTAAAACAAATATTATTTTAATATTTTTTTAATAACCAGACTAATTACCATACGGAAAATATAAGTAAAAGCTTTTGTAACATCGACATATTTTTTAAATTACTATTGCACACTAAAACCATTGAACCAAATTTTAACTATCCATCTGTAACAGTTTGGGAGAAATGCGGGCGGTGTCTCCGAAATGACAAACAAAACGTTTCCGGTTTTCAATTTAGGTATGAAATACAAAAAGAATAAATTATTAATTTTTACATATAACAACGGCTGAACTTCGGCCATGACATTGAATTTATTAGGTACTCTAAAATTCCGCATCATAGCGGGCAGAAGGATTTTTTTTAACGCACACACCCAACATAGCCCCGCTCTAGGGTAACCCTGTGTCGCGGGTGCCATGACCACACACATAGACAACCAAAAATTACACCCAAACTCACGAGAAAAATAAATGTAGGCCATATAAATATTTCTCCCGGCCCAAGAATCGAATCTGGGACCTCTGCGTGGCAGACCAGCATTGTAACTTTTCGACCACGGAGGCAACTGAATGATGAATATTATTAATTATATTGTACCTAAAGTAATTTCAACAACTCAAGCCAATCATAGTACACACTGCGCTGCATAATGTGCCAGTATTTTTTAATGGTAAATATTTTTTTTGTAATATACCGAGCAGAAGAATAGTTGTTGTGGACAACTACCATTGACTGGAATCTAAAATTGACTTCTCAGCATTTCTTACTTGTTTAAGTGCCCTTCAGGTGGTCAATGTTTGGTGTAGAACTCCAGTAAATATGTAAAACTAGAGATACTGCTAATCGCGATACCAGACAGTATTAGTACATATTTAGTACCTATTGGGACACCGGATGTCGCAACGAGTACAGAATAACTACTTTTGTAACTGTTTTGTTTTACATTGACAAGCTGCATTTTATAAAACTATTCTAATTTCTAGCGATAATAAATCAACTAGATGGCGCTTATTGCAGAGGTTTGTAAGGATGGCGCCGGTTATTTTGTTTAGGATTAGCACCATCTGCCCATATTATGACGCGTTAATTTATGAATTAGTTTGTAACACACAATGCCATCTATTGACAGACTTACTTGTCAAAGTTCGGAAAATAATTGATCAATATTTGAATAATTCTACAAGTAAAAAGACTGTCTTCTTGTATTTCATATTAAAGAGGAATTATAATTATTTTTATACTAGTGGAGTAATTTCACAAAAAATAATTGAATATCAATTCAATAAAAAATTAATTAAAGAGGAATTAATTGATATCCACAGCCACCAGCGACATCTAGACTAAGACTAGTATGAAGATTAGCCTGAAGACAGTAGACCTCTAGAGTTGTTGGTCCATGATTGTATCTAAAGTAATTTCAAGAAGTCATGTCAATTCTACTTCATATTGCTCTCTAAAATATGTTTTGCCCAAAAATAGTTTATTAACATCATAATACAATTTACTTACTGGGTGAATTAGAACATTTCGCCATATCTAAAGTGAAAAATATAGCACTTTTCTTAGCTAGTGGATTCAACTCATCACAATAATAATGGAAGGCCATGGCAAGTTTTGAAGGCACTTCAACAAGGTCTTTCAGCAGCATTACACCGGTCCTTGTGATGTCATCACGATATTCTCGTATTAAGTCGCTGTAGGTGGGCATACGGAGTTCTGATCCATCTACTGTGATATGATGGATCGATGCACTGTATGTACCTGAAAGACATTATAAATATTGTTGGTTTAACTGTTATCACAACAACAATAACGTTTAGTCTACACTTTATCGTGTTTGTCGATATTCCAAGCTTAACACTATGCCCTAAGCTGTATTGTAAAATTATCCTTATGGTTTTGTAGATAGCCATTTATTTGACCACTGAGTTAAAAGTGCTCGCATAAACGTGTAGAGGGCAGTGTAAGAGGGCTGATGCTGTTGGTGGAGCTGGTGGCGTTATGTCCTGTTGGATGGAATGTAGTAGTAGCCTCTGCAGTCTCCGCAGCCTCCATACATCTTACTTAGTAGGTTTAGAAGTTCGAAAAGATAAGAAGAGATGTGTTTGCTACCGCGATCAGGCAGACGAAACAAAATCAGAATGTGAGGCAAAGAATGGAACAATTCAAAATTTGAATTTAAATACGAGTGTGAGAATAAAATAAGAAATTTAAATAAAAAGGTGGGATGACGATGCAGGAGGTCACACTGTCACAATCGTGTATCTACCTTGTCTAAGTAGCCCATCGTCACATGAAACCCAATACTGTGATAACTCAATAATGGTGGAATTCAGAAAACACGATTCGAAGGTTCAAAATATTTCTGAATGGAACAATAAATTTGGTTTCTTGTTTATAACTGGATAATTAATTAAATATTCCGTATACATATAAATAATTTCTTTATTCGCAATAAGATCCATTCTATAATTTTTAAATTCTCAAAACGTGTTTTCTCAATACCACCATTTAAGAGTATGAGTTACAACATTATTTAGTTTCATGTGTGATATCATAATATTTAACAGTTGTATACGACAAACTCAACAAATGTATTTGACATCAAGCAGCTTCAACATTTCACACACCAATTTATGTCACTGGTTTGTTTTAAAAATAAATGTAATTTTGTATAATGTGTTCAGTGATGAAGCCTGCCAAAAATAATGCACGACTGTGCACTCTTGTTTAAGGCTTGCAGATCTGGAACAAATGGGTTCACTTACGTAAATATTTCGCAGCAAATGATGCGGCAGCATTGACAAAATTGTTGAAGTTGTTCTCGTCAAAATCTCTGGTGTCACTTTTGTATAGAAATACAAAAGACGCAGTGTCTTGTTTTTCTGATATTGTAGCAATACCTGAGGATGTTGTTTAAAGTTTTCATCTACTATTTATGTTTACATTTAATTTAGGGTTTTGCTAAATAAGAATGTCACTTTTACGGTACAGCTAGGCAGTTACGCTTCTTTGCGCGTAAAATAGCGCAAGCCGTGTACGTTGTTTTAGAGAAAACCGTCACCAGCCGGTCACACACGCACAGATATACAAACATGTAAATGACTTGCGCATGTTTGCTCACTGTAAGGCAGGACCAAGTGGACGTGTCATGAAACTATTAAGCAAAGACTGATTGGTTCTTCTTGCTATGCTGCCATATTATTGAAAAATATTTTCTGTTTCTGTCCACACATACGTAGGTTAAATAAGTAAATAGTCATACCAGTGCTACGTTTTTAGAGTTCAATGCCAGTTTTAACGTCATAATCTTTTTCAAAGAATTTCTTTTACTTACCAGATTTTATTTGTAAAATGGAATCATCATTAATCCCATATTTCTCTCCAAGTTCATTCAGATCCTTGTAAAACATAGCCTTTTCGTAATTATTACTTGTATTAAGACTTCCTTGTGTTGGTCCAAATTGCCATCCTGCAGCTATAGCAACTACACCAAGTAGTAATGCTAATGTTAGTTTTGGTAATGCGCTCTGCTTTGTACTTCCAGGAATATTCATATCACTTGATTTTCCGTACACATCATCCACATAATTGAAGTTATTTGAATTATTTGATTCTTGGATTGAAGAATTATTGAAAGAATGTGACGTGTTATGAGTAGACCCTGACAATCTTGATACGTTGTGTGTATTGAGAGACGCAATCATTTCTTGCCAGTTGTCTGATCCTTCGCTGGAATATGACGTGAGGTACGCAGGTAAGGATTTCGCATGGTTATTGCTGTAATGAAATAGACATTACCAGCTCACATTTTAGCCACAAGTTTTGCCAATTGTAACTTTATGCTTGTGTCGCTCAATGCATGATAATTATAGTATAAGTGCAATGATAATGAATAATGATTTTTTAAGTAGCCATTAATTTTTAATAAATCTGATGAAGTTTTCAAAATGATTGAATATGTAGGCATGATTATCTGAAATTGATGTTACTGATGGTTACTAGCAATTCGTACGTTAAGATAATGTGAGGTGGTAATGAGCTATTAAGATCATGAAACAGTTACGGCAATAAGATTTGCCAGGATTTTAATAATGATTTAAAATAAGTAGGTGTTAAAAAAGTTGTTATTTAATTAATTAATTTGGGCCATATTATAGCATTGACATTGGATGTATGTATTAGTAGCTTAGAGGATGGAAAAAATAAAGGGAAGGAGCTGCCTTATCTACGAAATAAACGTACCTACCTAAACCGAAAATGTTCACCACAAATGGGGGATTTAGTGTTGTACCATA